GGATATTTCTACATAAGATTTTGGAGTTTTTTTCCTTGTGAAATTCTGAGGTAGCAAAGTTGACATCCTGCTTTTAATTCATCTTAACAAGATATGAAGAATTTCTAAACAAGACTTTTTTTCCCATACACTCACAGTTTGCAGGGAGGTAAGGGCCAGATCCTTTCCAGTGGGCACTATCTCCCTGCAGTGTATGTATTCTCATCAGCTTGTTCTCATGGATGTAACAGGCACATGAAAACTTTAGTTAATCCATCACATTCTCATATATTATACTCCCATGACACATCATTTGTTTACACATCTCTCCCTCCCCACCAGACTGGGTCCTAGTGAGAAGGGACTAACATATTAGCAAACTAATATGTTTGCTCCAATGCCCAGTCTGCAGCCTGCCAGACCAGGAATGAAGCAAATAATAGTGCAATAAGGAATAGTGGAAACAGGTGGGGGAGAGCACTGATGTGTCAGTTGAGCTATCTCAATCAATTTTTCTCTCTCCTACCACAGGAGGTGCTTCTGAGATCCAGGAATGACTCCTACTAGATAAGATTTTTGAAAATTTATACCAGTATACTATACCACCAGTTGAAATTGTCTTATTTATATACACTTTGCCTTGTTCTGAAAAGGATGTGAAACAGTAACTGACATATTCTAAAATTATTTGCACATCCCTAAGCTTATGAGGTTCTTAAGTTCAAAAAGCTGGTGGTTGCACGGAAGTATTTTGTGTGTCATCCTCATCCTCCCCTAGCCAGCCTAGATCACGGAAAGGGCCACCACCTAGCAGGTTGGAAAAGAATGGAACAAAGAAGTATTCTGAGAATGGAAAGAGTAACTACAACTCTGAAAAATACACTAAAGTCTCATGAAGACAAAGCTCTTCTCTCTAAATGGCATTTTGAGGAGTTCAGTCTTAAGTTTCATTGATCAAATCTTGAATTAATCAAATAAGACCAGTTATATATGTATACACACCAAGGCAATTTTAACTCTGCCAAATTCTGGCATAAGGTAAAGGTAATGCTCAAATGATATCTTACCTGTATGATGGGAAAAGGAAGATAGTTCATGTTGTTAACAAAATACAGGAGGCTATAGGTATAGCCCATAAATGCTCCAGCCAGTAGGAAAAAAAGATGATACTCATTTAAGCAGTTTTGTGCAGCAGGGCTATCTAAGCTGAAGGGAAAAAGTTAGGTATTAATAAAATAGTCAGAGACATATATCACTGTTTTAGGTTCAATATTAACTGAAGGCAAAGCTCTGACTTAATCACTTAAGAAATGTCCCAAATTCTAACAAGATGGCTTGTTTTGTGTAAGCATGAGCAAGATTAACAAAACTATTTTCCCTGAAGTATGAGAATCTGACCTTTAGTTAATTCTAGCTCTGTTCCTCTGGAAATCTGATAAGGGTAAGAATGCCTACTATGATTTCAAGCAATGTTGCTTACAAGTTGGTAAGCTGCATCTGGACTGAGAGGAAATATAAATAAATTATATATACCTGATAGAGATGCCATAACTTTGGGTTTCTCTCTGTGTTGTCTCTTATAACTGGGTATTCCTTCCCGGGGACTCTGGATGCTATGTTCATAAAGTTGCTATAATAGATACTAGATCCTGTGGGGCACGAGGCCTTTAAACCAAGGAGCCCCATGTATGTCTGTTGTTGATCTCTTCTCCTTGTACCTGAGTTGAATCACAGGCAAGAAGATAACTCCCAGATGGTTGCAGGGCCTATCACCTGTTTGAACTAATGCAAGGACTCCTACTGAAGAATTCCTGATGCTTCCCAGCTGGCAAGCTGTGGTTGTAAGTTCTGAATATTTAGTTAAATCCAAAAGGATCCCCTGTTGGACACTGCCATAAGCCACTACCCTATCATCTTTATCTTACAATATCTTTTAATTGTAAGCAAAAGATCTTATCTATTTGGTGAACATCAAGCTTTTAAACTCTGAGAGTTTCCTGAATCTCTATAATCATCAAATATCTGGGGGTGTATAGAGCCAACACACAATTCAGTAGAAGTCAATTTTTCATAAATGAGTACAGGTTGTGGGCCTACCCCATCATCTATCTCCATGAGAGATGAGACCCTGAGTTACAAGATGATGAAAAGAGATTAGTTTTGCTAAAGACTTTGTGAGATCATCAGTAAATGTATTCATAATAGGCACTAATTGCTTTAACAACTTGTAGCTTACTGCTGCCTTTTACTCCCTGGAACTTCACTGCCACCTCCACTAAGGAGGGAGGTAAAAAAGATTCAACTCATCAAAAAAACTCATCCAAGGTGAGCAGTTGGGATTTCTTTATTCATAGCAGTCCTGTATTCAAGACGTCCTTTATCATTTAATGTTTATCAACAGGACAATTTTCACTAAAGAAAACTTATTAAATTAGGGAAAAAACCTGCCTCATATAATAGTAGCTGGGAGCCAAAAAGAAATCAAATATTCAGTAGTAATCATGTAACACTGTTTAAAGTTAACAGAAAATAGGGAACTTAAAATCACTCCAGTAATCTTTACTTTTTTTAAGATATGAGGTCTTGCTAGGCTAACCAGGATGGAGTGCAGTGGCTATTCACAGGCACAATCATTGCACACTACAGCCTCAAATTCCCGGGCTCAAGGGATCCTCCCGCCTCAGCCTCCCAAGTAGCTGGGACTACAGGCATGCGCCACTGCACCCGGCTTCCAGTAGCAATCTTTTTCAATTTTTAAAGTCAGAACATAAACTTGCAATTTATATCAATGCCATGTGTTCAAGACTGTATAAGATTCAAAATTATAAAAGTACTCTATAGAAGAACATAGTTAGCATTATTTTAAAAACTTTCTTCATTCTTTCTATACTACCCTTTCTTTCAACTCCAACCTAAACGCCACCTCCTCAAAGAACATGTGTGGATCCTCCCTGCTTTCTGAACTCCCACATGTTTTATCTGCACATCTCACTTTCTTCTTCCTATTACACCCATCTGTGTCCTTGTCTTAATTTCCCTACTGTTCTTAACTCTCAAGGAGCTTACAGTCTATGTTTGAATCACTCTCATAAATTCAACAGCACCTAGCATAGCACCTTGCACATAACAAATGGCTTTTAAAAACTGCTGAATTCAACACACATAAAACGTCAAAAACATTTGATGTATGTAAAAAAGCACCTTTTGTAAAAATCTAGAAAGCAAAGAATGCCTATAAAGTATTAACCTATATAGGTTAACTCTGGCTTAGTAACTAAATAAGGTTCTTCGGAAAAAATATGTATTTTAATACTACCTCTCAGTACTAGTGCAGGGAACCACAAGAAAACTGTACCGGCCCTTGGTTATCACTGCAGCACACCAAGCCGTCACCATTCCCATTGCAGCATGAATAAACGAGTGCATGAGTTGCTGAGGATGGATGATCTTCCCTATCAGTGCTAGTCTGGAGCAGGGGATGGAAGGCACAACTGCAAAGAAAACACATGACTGTAGTTTTATAACCCGTGGCATATGAAGTCAGAGGATCTAAACTATTCCCTCTCATTCTTGCACGAATATTCCAAAGGCAGGAAGAAACCCAGAATACGGTACAGAAAAATTCTAAGTTAAAAAAACTTCAGAAAAGAATAAAAAGAAATGCATACACAAAAAAAGAAAAGCCAAAGAATCTGGAGCATTGAAATCTAAGGACAATATGACTAATGTTTTTTCATTTCTTTTTAATTAAAATATCCTGATAGCTCAAATAGTGCCTACCC